TGAGGAAACAGTTGCAGGGAGCGGAGGGGAAAGAGGAGATGCAGAGGGCTATGGACAGAAGAAGGACCTGAACAGAAAACCCCCTTTCTTCAAATGCAAACTGATTTGAAAGTATATTTTAGTCGATACTGCAAGTGCAGAAACTGCACCAAAGATTATAACCCAAGAATTATAGTAACTGTAATTCACTTTTTTTTTTATCATCTTTCTCTCTATATTATGTTATTTCAAGGGATTGTTCACACAAAAATAAAAATTCTGTCTACTCACCCTCAAGTTGTCCAAAACCTCTATGATTTTCTTTCTTCTGCTGAACACAGATGACATTTTGATGAATGTAGGTAACCAAACAGTTGCTGGAAGCCATTGACTTCCGTAGTATGGATAAAAAAATACAATGGAAGTCAATAGCTACCATCAACTGTTTGGTTACCTATATTCTTCAAAAAAATCTCGTACTGTCACTCTGAAATAGAGTAATGGCTGACTTTCTGAAAAGCCCTACATGGATTGAGGCGCATGAACAAGGATCACAAAACCCAGATGGTCTTTAAGCGGGAGCGCTGACAGTTAAAGTCCATTTCTGATTTTATTGTTGTTTGTATTGTCATGTTGCGGTATTTTACTTAATAAAAAATATTTTTATTTTTGGTGTTTTATATGCTCTGGTGGTTGGTGGGGTAGCATCAACCGGGGGGATATTTTTTTTTCACCCACAAAACTTGTGGGTGAATAAATGATGACAGAATTGTTATTTTTGGTTGAACTATCCCTTTAAGAGGTCATATTCCCAAAAGTATGCATGTGCTTGTTGACTTAATAATAAGACTACATTTACATCTGATTTTAACATCTGTATGGTGCTCAGATCACAAGTGGACAGTGTTATTTACCAGTGTAAAACAAGGTCAATGTATTTTATCATTTAGCTGCTCAAATCACAAGTAGTCAGAATCACATATGATCACATCACTAAAGGACCACCAACTTACCTGTCAATCAAAATAATACACCTTTATTGCACTAAAACAAGTTTAAATGTTAAAATAACAGCATGTATGTAACATAAGATTACTATCACCTCAGCTCTGCCTGAAATGTTTATTATCTGTTTTAAAAGAAATGTTTTATTGTTAGAAAAGTGAATTTATTTCACACCTTATGTTCTTGTTCTTTCTGCTTCTGTGGGATGATGGATAAAGGTGGAAGGCTACAGATCAGACTCCCTGAGGCTGTTGCAAGAGGCTCTACAGATGAACCAAAGTGAAACCAGCCCTTCCTCCCCCAGTCCCACCCACGGTGAGCACTGCAATGCTTTGTTTGGGAAAACGGCTAATAATTTCTTTGTGATTGTGAACATGAACGGGTAAAGGAATAGTTCACTTGAAGAACACAATTTTGTCATTAGGTACTCACCTTTGTGTTGTTTTTTTTTTCAGTGAAACACGAGGAGAAATTTTGAAAACTGTACAAATTTTTTCATACATCAACAGTATATTGGGCCCACGACTGTCAAGTTCCAAAAAAAGGTGACTAATTTTACGCAAAAAAGGAATAGTTCACACAAAAATGAAACCTTTGTCATCAGTTGCTCACTGTCACATCATTCCAAACCTGTATGACTTTGTTTTCTTCTGTCGAGCATGAAAGAAGACATTATGAAGAATGTTGGTAACCAAACAGTTCTGAATCCCATTAACTTCCATTATATTTTTTGTCTATACAATAGAAGTCAGTGGGAACACCGAAACTGCTTGGTTATAGGGACGCGGGAAGTAGGGGTGCTGAGGGGGCTGCAGCACCCCCTGTTTTCACATGGTTGCAAATGCAACGCCAAGTTTGTTCATTTAAATTTATTCAGTTTTAGCATTTAATAATTTATTTGTAATGATCTCTGAAATGTAAATTGTAAGTGGGCTATAATAAACCCATGTTTATCTTTATAATCTTTATGATTAATTTTACTTGTGATGTTTTCTATATGGGATGATTAGCCTAATCCTCATGAACACGTGACGCTAGCCCAGCCTATGCAACAGGTTTGGAAGGGTGAGTAAATTGATAGAATTGTTATTTTTGGATGGGCTGTCCCTTTAGTGACTTAAGTTTTTGTTTTGCACACAAAGCCATTGTATTGATACTTTTATGGTTTTTAATGTGCATGTGTGTTTTTGGGAGCTTGACAGCTGTGGCCACTATGAACTGCTGATGTATAAAAAAGAATGATAAAAAAGCTGATGTGTGTAAATTCAGCTTTGCCATCACACTAATAAATTGTATTTTCAAATATTTTCAGGTAGAAAACTGTAATAATATTTCACAATATTTATGTTTTTACTAGGGATGCACCGATATGAACATTTTGGCCGATACCGATAACTGATAATTCTTTATTTTTGAAAGCCGATAACCGATATGTTGGCCGATAAATCTATATCCAAATTTTTATATACTTTTTGAGAGCCTGATTACAAAAAAGTTCTCATCATTAAAACCCACATCCCAAAGATATATCGTGCATCCCTAGTTTTTACTGTATTTTTGAAGAAATAAATGCAGCAATGGTGATCACAAGAGACTTCTTTGAAAAGCATTTCTAGCATTTTAATTTGGAGGTTAAATTTTGTCCTTAACGTGCTTATGTCTGATATATCTCATTTCTGTCTGCAGGTGAAATGGGCCCTGCTTCTGCTGGTCCTGAATCTGCTGCTGCTGAAGTGTGGGAGGAGCAGCCGGCCTTGTCAGAGGAACCAGTGACCGGTGGAGATGAGCTCAGCGGACTGGAGACGGCCCTCAAGGCAGAGCGCGAACGTGAGGAAGCGGAGTCTGGCCTGGGCAGCCCGTCTCAGGAGACGTGTGGATCTGAAGGCGTGGCGTTCATCGGACTTGACGGTTTATGTAGCTCTCAGCAGGCAATGTCGTCCTCGTCACATAGAGCAGACCCTGCTGAACTACAACTCCCATCAGCCCCTAGCAACAAAGAAGAGGAAGAGGAGTGAGGAGGAGAGAGTGGGGACATGCTGCATTTCTGCGCAAGGTGCGGCAGCGGCTTCAATTCCACGTCTGACCTCATGAAGCACTCGTGCCCTGCGGCCGAGGAGCGGCCCTATCAGTGCTCCGTGTGCGGGAGAGCGTTTGGCCATGCCTGGAGCCTTAAGAGCCATGAATGCGTCCAGGCAGGAGAGCAGACTCACCACTGCGAACTCTGCGGCAAACGCTTTACGCACTCGCGGTCCCTCGAGCGTCATCAACTGGTTCACACAGGTGAGCGACCCCACAGGTGCCCGCAGTGCGGCCGCAGCTTCAGTCGTCTCGGGAACCTGGAGAGGCACCAGCGCATCCACACGGGTGAAAGACCGTATGAGTGTGGGACATGTGGGAAACGTTTCAGTCGAGTGGAATATCTAAAACGGCATCAGCACACCCACATTAACGATGCAATGGTGAAACTCCCACCGCTGCGAAACTCCCACCACTGCTCTCAATGCAACCAAACATTCAGTGATACTGAGCAGTTCAAGCAGCATCAATGTCCGTACAACACATAATGTTATTCAATGTTCATGAGAATCTACTAGACCTTAACTAGTAATCCACAGCACTCCGAAGACCTCATTCTTCATAATTCTCTTCCTTTTTTTGTATCTTCTATTAGCATTTTATTACATGCTTCTACCTTTAATGACCCAAAAACATGATTTCATCACTGACTTGCACCCAAAACCTCAAAGCAAAGCACATTTAACCTAGTACAATGTCATCTTAAAGTGAAATTTCCTATTTATTGTTATTATTTGGAAACTGTCTACTCATTATTCATAGTGAATATATATAGCAACATAATAAGCACCTCAGTTTCAATTCCAACAGCCTATAAACCCAGATAACTATTTTTGTCAGGCTTCTTATAACAGGTTGTGAAATATTTTTATTTTCTTTTTGTGAACAAAGACATTTATAGAAGCTTGTTAATAACAATTAATAACAAATAGAATGCTTATTCATGCATTCCTAAGATTTATTTTCCTCTTATAGGGCTCGTGTTGTTTTTACTCAAAACAGAAGTGAAATTGTTGTGATGAGAATTTCTTTAGGTCTCGTATCTGAAATAGTTTTTTTTTATTTTTTATTTTTTACTTGGTCTTGTATTCTATTTACTCAAAAATGTCATACTGTATTGAACAATATGGAAAATGTTAATAAATCCCTTCCAAATGTATATACTGCTATAGCTTGTCTTTATACATTGTATGTTTATTTGTTTGTTTATGAGAAACTGAGGCTTAAAATTACATTCACTTCTGGTAATTATCATAATTTGTACTTACTTTTAATTTGGAATACTGTTCTGAACAAAACTGTACGGAGCAAGTAAAAAGCTATGCTGTATGGTAATGTAGAGATAATGGAGTAGATGCATTAAGAGTAAATACAATTAAATACATACTGCTACTCTCACAAATGAAAGATGAAAGGCGTTTGTAAATGCTTATTGATATTTTATGTTAGTGGATTTTATGTTGTTAAATAATTAGCTCTACCTATACGTTCTAGAAAACGGAAGTATTGATGGATCATTTCAGTGAATCGGTTGAACAGGTCTGTCTGGGTCTGCGTTTCCTAAAAAGCATGAACGATTTATTAACTTTCATGTATTGAATCAGTCCGAGCAGTTCACGCGTCAACCTGTTTTGAAACGATTCTTTGAAACGAATACTACTCATTGAAAAAAGTCATATAAAATGACAAAAAAATAAACAAATAAATACAAAATAAACAGATAAGTACACCAATCTAGTACAAAAAGCGTTGTAGTTAAAAATATATATATATATATTTGACTGAGATCATATATTCAAGTAATTTTCAAAAAGAAAGAAGAGAGTTTACAGTTTGAAAATTTTCATTTGTGAATGTAAAATCAGCTCAGGAATATAATTAAATGTATAATAAAACACATTTATTTTGTGGGATCTAAAGGGTTAATACTTAATCCATGACGTCAGACTCCAGAAGACATCGCTGTGGTCGTGTGGGATCTCTTCTGCCGGTCTAATTTCACATTGCGAAGGTTTGGATGTCATTTACATAATTTAGTTTTATTTTGTAGATTTATATGTGTATACATTTAGGCGAAGGTCATGAACTGTGCTTCAGCGGGGACTGTAATGGGCAGTGTGTTGGTTTGTGTACCTCATCAGCTGTGTGTCAGCTAGCAGCATTTACGATAAGATGTGAAACTATTTTGCGCTTTATTCTGCGTACTTTGACTTAGGTCATCTACAAAATGACGGAATACTATCATATTACACAAGCTGTACAACCACAGTGTACTGTAACTGTTACACTGCGCATGCTATTTAGTCTATTATGTAGCGCCTAGCATTGCAGCATCAATGAATAAGACTCCACATTATGACAGAAAGCCTCTTTGCAAACTCCCGGTCTGTGTTTTTAGAGTTTCCATCAGGCCTTGCGCACATCCTGAAGTGTGTTCACAAGAGTCGCAGCCCTGCATTTCAAAACAGAGGACGAGCATTTCGCCATGAACTCTGACATGGATGGTGAGACACTGGGTGGAATCAGCATGTGGATTCATCTTTAGTTTCTTTGCTTTATAGTGCAGCACACAGCAGTAGATCTTCAGGAGTTTGCAAAGTGTTTTTGTTGTTTTAATTATTAAATATTATCAAAATGAAACTGACAGTTGTTTATAAACAAGTATAGATTGATGAAAAAACTGCATAATTAACATACTAAATAACATTAGGAAAAAACAAAAACTTTTTCTTCCAAAAGCAAGTTTTAGATGCATGCTATTTTGTAATGTATAGCATTACATTGTAAAGAATGTCTCCTAAATTTTCATTTAACAAATATCAATTATACAACATACACAAACAATATATGTGCATACTGTGCATATTTATACACATACTTACAATCTACAAATGCACACTATCATACAAAATATAAATGCACACATACATACATATTTACATAGTTCATATGTAAACTATATATAAATTCTATAATTATGATATATGTATTGTATATATTAGAATATATAATATAAATTATGTTTTGTAATTTATCTACTAAATCAATTATTTACTAAAGTAAATAAAAAATAACTCAAAACGTTTGCCCATGACTTTTTAAAAATATCTCCTTTACCAATTCGAACCCTTGACATTTTTTTCTAACAAATAATAATGTTTAAAATATTTTTTAAATGCACATGAATTCAAATCTATATTATCCTCGATTTTAAGAATATATACCTTTCCAACTAAAATAATACTTTAATAAAGATTTTGTGTATGATCACCCCCAAATGATTTTATTTGAATTCCAAGGTAATTTAATGCTAAGTATAGCTAACCATTTTGCTATGTTCGATCAACAGGCAACAACAAAAAGGCAATACCAAATAAATTCATGATGTCTTTCCTCCTCTTCCTTTTACAACTTTATTCATTTATTTATTTCTTTATTAATAAGTGTTAAGGACTTTTCCAGTGACTCCAAGTTTGCAAAGTGTGTAATTCTAAGTTCATCTTCCAGGTGATATAGAAAATCAGGTGGAGTTGGAGGAGAAGACCAGGCTTATAAACCAGGTCCTTGAGTTGCAGAATACTCTTGAGGGTAAGTAACCAGCGCTGTATGGTTTGTCACATAGTGTTATCTAATGCTGGGTTCTTTTATCTTTTTTTATATTATATAACAAGCATTAAGGTCTGTCTTCCTCTTTCTTGTTTTGGTAGATCTCTCAGCTCGGGTGGATGCAGTAAAAGAAGAAAATCTGAAGTTAAAATCAGAGAATCAGGTTCTTGGGCAGTACATTGAGAACCTCATGTCGGCATCTAGTGTGTTTCAGACCACTGACTCCAAGAGCAAACGGAAGTAAGAGAGCATCCCTCGTGTAGACGGCAGCCCCACACAGATAAACCCTTGCCATATCAGCTCATTTAAAGTTCCCACTAGCATTCATTTGATCCTTATGCCACTAAGATGGTAAATGTTTACATTTATTTCATGATCAGTATTTGTTTGTTTACATTTCATCTTATTAAAATCATTTTATAAAGAGATTAATATTTTATATGTTGTTTTGTAGGTTTTTTTATGTTCAGACAGGTTATGATAATATTATTTGTAATATTTTACATAGTTTTTGTCTTGCTAAACAAATTGATATGTATTTTGTACTTCCTTTCATATTTTTGCTTTGTAGATAAGATGAGGGTACAGCTGTGATGATGTGACAGTTGCTCTCTCCCGCTGAGCTGTTTGTCTGTATCAGGACTGATTATACTCAAGTTGAGAGAAAACATTACAGGTCATTCTGATCAGGGAATGAAATTTAGACCCTTTTCTTGGTGCTATCAACAGAAGGGAGTTCTCTGGCATGCATCACTTCTGTGCCTCTGAATATATTAATGTATTTGTTGTGTTTGTATGTGTAGAATCTTACCATTGCGTGGCATTGCACATGCCTGTTTTAATTAAAACAAATTTTCTGTGCTGTGAGTGAGTCCTTCTGTTTAGGATTTTTAGGCCCCTGTGGTGGTTTGTTTCTCAGTCAGTCACCTCACTTTGGTACCCACCTGCTCTCATCAGAGGAGTGAGGAACTGAGTCTCATAGTAGCGGTAGCGTTGCCTTCCTCTCCTCCACCCTTGCTTCAGATTGTGAATCTGCATCTGAATGTGTGTCTCCCTCTTTCACAGGCTTACCAAAGGTGTTCGGAAGGACAAATCAACTAGTGTTTAAATATGCTGTAACCAATATGTTGGAGTAAGCAAACCTAAGATTAAAGCTGAAATGTGTAAATTTTTTTTGCAATTTTTTCTTCCTAGTCTAGCTTGATTAATTTGCAGGTTGATGTTCTTAAAAAGTTTGAGCATTATAGTGCAACCAAGTCTGATACAGTAGCACTGGGTGGGATTATTTGTTTGTCTGACCAATGGAGTTATTTTTTTTAATAACAAATTAATTTTGCAATTCTACTTGGTGTTGCTAGTGATAAAGAAATAAAAAAAGAATATGACATGAGCAGAAAAGACCACAATGATGCCGTGACAAGTTGGTATTGCTGCCATTTACTGAAAGTCAAATATTTTAAATAATTCAGTATAATATAAAACATGGTCAAATCCTGTTTGTGTGGTCCCTTTAAGTTATTTTGCAACACTAAACAATAATTGAAATAAAAGAATTTATACAAAATGAATAAATCAAACAAAACCTTCATGGACCACAATAAACAAATAATGATGTAAACAGGTTTTTCACTCCTTTTTAATGAGGGAAACATCCTGTCGTTGCACCTCAAGATAGTACACAGCAATGCCAGTCATTCAAGCATAGGGAGGTTCCTTCCCAGACCAGCAGCATGCGCTGTTGTCCACAGCAGGAGGTATTACATGTTGCCATGCAGATCAAATTTTTCCTTTCTCCTCAACTCAAACAGGATCAAACTTGAATAAAGATCTGTCAAAGAAAGAGATGTGACTTTTAAGCAAACCTTAGATACTGTGTGTCAGCTGTAAACAAGGCTATTGAAAACTATCGGGTAACAGAAAGCACAGACTTCCTCAAAAAGGCCTTTTCATTTATAGACAAAATAGAAATAACTTTTTATAGTTACACAGAAATATCAATAAAATGGTGACTGAACACTGAGATACTGAAATACTGTGAATTAATTTACAAGAATTTTGTAAAACATTCAAATTAGATATCTCTAATGATACTTGGCCCTTTCATTTTTAAGCGTTGTTGGGTTGATCTCCTAACTAAAGAAAAGTGGACAACTTCAACTTTCTGTTGTAGGGGAAATCTTGTTCTCTTGGTCAAATTACACATTTGCTCATTTTAAGTGAATATACTAATATTAATTGTTAATTCAAGTGGCTGTGCTTATATAAAGGCAAGAAATGAAAGAAAAATAAATGTTGAAACTGAAAATTAACTTATCAAAATCAAGCATTAAGTGGTTTACAAAATAAAGGATTAAAGTTTTCTGAATGAAAGGACAAAAAAATAAACATAAGAAAGAGAATAACAACAATTGTGGGCTACAAGAAATGTTTACAGGCCATTTCTGCCAAAGTGTTAATGACAATCTACCCACACATATGCCGCAATAAAAGTCCCTGATTTATGAAATTGTAAGATAATATATTCCATGTTTCACATGAAGTAAAATACTTGAAGTGATTAGCTGGAGAATGCTACACTAGCTTAGCATTATGTTGTAATGAAGGACCCAATAAACCACCCTAACAAGCCCTACGAGTGCTTTCCTGGTTTTGTTTGTCATACAGATGCCTTATGACCTCTTCCTTACTTTCATTTGATTTTACTGTAAGAGTGAAACACCTCACATACATAAATGTGCTAACAAACCACTTTCCTTTCCGCATTTCCCTAGAGAAATGTAAATTGGGTTGGGTCTGTTTTTTTTTTGTTTTTTTTTAATCTTCATTGCATTTCTGTGTGTTATGTATTACTCATGTCAGTATGGCTTTCTCTGAATTAAATGACTGTTAGCTCAAGCCCTTCCCAATTAGGTGAGGCCTGTTTCTAAGGGCTATTTATAGATGATATGAATGTGGTTCACCTCACTGAGAAGGACCCAGACATCAGAATCAGAGTGAACCAGGAGTCGCATGGCCGCTATTTCTCCTAATGCTCCATCCACTTCTCCCTCAGCCACTCCATTCTTGAAAGAACCTGAGAAAGCAGACATTTATGACATATCCCATCACAAAATAAACAGAAACCACCTGACCTCTTTCAATCAACAGATTGCATGACAGGTGCCACGTTTTGATGCTGGTTTTCACACTCACACACATTCTGGTCTCAGACAATGGGCAAGCACGCTCACATACATTTGCATAACCACTTTTGATCTCACATTCCTTATTGTGGTTTATCCAAATATCTGAAAACAAAGCAAGTGTGTATATTACAGACATGCACATGCATACTTGCTCATGTTTCTGATCAGATAGTCTCATAACCTCATAATTTTTCAGGAGTCTTTGATAAATACAGGTGCATCTCAATAAATTAGAATGTCGTGGAAAAGTTCATTTATTTCAGTAATTCAACTCTTGAATAAATTTTATTAAATATTAAGTATTAAATAAATTCAATGCACACAGACTGAAGTAGTTTAAGTCAAATCTTACAAATGAGTGACAGAAAAGGAAAGAAAAGAAACAGGAAATCGAATATGGTTGAGTACCTATCTGAACAAAGCCATCAGATGAGGGTTTACAGCAGGCTAATTCTCCTCTCGTCACCCTCACTTTCACAGATTTCTGTAATACACAAACGTACCTGTTAACACTTCATACTTCAATGCAAATGGAAAAAAAGTCATATCAGGAAGTATTTACAAAAATCCTTGTCTAACAGGTTTGAGGTAAAGGTTGTCTTTAGAGAAATGTTTACATGGCTTGCAAGCACAGGAGCAAGGCCCCATCACGACAAGCAAATGAATACAAATGTTCACTTAGAAAAAGGGTGTAGTCACATATGTCTAAAGCTATGACAATACCAACATATTTTACACAAACTGAAACCACCCATTTTTTCGGGCAGCTTTGGTTCATTTCACAATATTTAAGACATTTAAAGTACTTAAGGGATTTAAAAATAAAACTATTAAACATGAAGCAAACCAACCAGTTCTGGGATGAACAACAACAAAAAAGTGAACTTCAAAAAGACTGTGCTTATTATCTTTTATGAGGGAATGACTTACAGACCCATAAATCTTAACAAATTACATAATAAAATAAAAGACATCAACACAATATAAAACTATTAGGGAGTATACTAGTAGGGAGACTCAATGTCGTTTACAATGTTTCATAGCAGAGGGTGGTTGGTCACTGCTGAGCACTTTTTATTCTGATTTGTTGTGATTCTCTGATTGGTGGATCATTCTCTTCAGGTTTCATGGGTAGTGTAGTCCTTCACCTGGAATTTGGTTGTTAATAGTTATTGTTTTTTTTTTACTGATGCTTCAACAGAACCTCATGGTCTGTCCTGAAAGGTTTACACTACGGTTCAAACGTTTAGGGTCAGTAAGATTTTTTTTTTTTTTTGTGGAATGTTTTGTTCAACAAGGATTCAATAAATTCATCAAAAGTGATAGCACAGACAGTTTCTATTTATCAAAGAATCCTGAAAATAAGCGTATCTCGGTATCCACAAAAACATTAAACAGCACAACTGTTTTGAACATTGATAATAATATTGTGTTATGAAATGTTTGAGCACCAAATCAGCATTTTAGAATGATTTCTGAAGGATCACGTGACACTGAATACTGGAGTACTGGCTGCTGAAAATTCAGCTTTGCCATCACATGAATAAATTACAGTTTATAATATATTAAAATAGACAACAGTTTTTTAATGTAATAAATATTTCACACTATTACTGTTTTTACTGTATTTTTGATCAAATAAATGCAGCCTTGGTGAGCATAAAAGACTTGTTTCAAAAACAATAAAAAATCTTTCTGCTCTCTCAAGCCTTTGAACGGTAGTGTATACAGACTTTTTTTGGCATGATACTTACACTAGTAGGGAGCACCTCCACTGTTGTGTTGTAAAACCTGTCACCATTTGTCTCAATATTGCCAGATCGAAAAAGGTACCTGGAAGTGAGTGGAATAAAAATATAAAAATATTAAATCAGCCAATTAAGTCCATTTGTCTAAAATGTCTGGAGTCTAAATGTTTCTCATGCCATAGATGTTGATGATAGAGTTTAACTTACAAACTGTATACAATTAATAGGTGGTTTTGTAAGTTATGTATGTAGGGTCCTATGAAATCCGTTTTTATTTTTCCTAAATTCCGTTAATTTTTTTTCCAAATTCCGTTTTTTCTGTTTTAATTTTTCTGGATTCTGTTTTTTTTTCCGTTTTAATTTTTCTCGACTCCTTTTTAATAGTTAAATTAAATTGTATTAATCAAAAAGCATGTTTAATTAATACAAATCATGAAACGTATACATTT